AAAATTGCGTTTATCTGATTAGATGTAATGTATATTTTGGTACGTCTTTTATTTGTGAATTATTTATTATTTATTTAGGAATTTCAAATATATTTTTTATTTTTAAGAAAAAAATTAAATGTAACAACAATAATAACATCTAATCACATTATACGGTCAACACATTATATGGTCAACTGTCATGAAGAAAAAATTTAAAATGATTTTTGTAATTTTGAAGTGATGAGTATTAATTATTTAATGATTAAATGAAAGATTAAATACATCAAAATGTAACGGTTTTTTGAGGGAAAATTATTAAATTGCCACATCGGTAAAATTAAATAGGTTTTATTAAATGTTTTGAGCTAGTAATTATATATATATATATATATATATATTATTCGACCTGTGCATTTGCACAGATATAAATAAATTATTGTGAGTTTGTATGCATATAATGATTAATTATTTTTCTTTCACTTTTTTGCAGACCAAATTTACAATTAAAGAGTTGGAATATTTTTTTAAAAAAATTGCGTTTATCTGATTAGATGTAATGTATATTTTGGTACGTCTTTTATTTGTGAATTATTTATTATTTATTTAGGAATTTCAAATATATTTTTTATTTTTAAGAAAAAAATTAAATGTAACAACAATAATAACATCTAATCACATTATACGGTCAACACATTATATGGTCAACTGTCATTAAGAAAAAATTTAAAATGATTTTTGTAATTTTGAAGTGATGAGTATTAATTATTTAATGATTAAATGAAAGATTAAATACATCAAAATGTAACGGTTTTTGGAGGAAAAATTAATAAATTGCCACATAGGTAAAATTAAATAGGTTTTATTAAATGTTTTGAGCTAGTAATTATATATATATATAGTTATAGATTATATAATAATTAATGCTAATACCAAATAATAATAATTGACAATAATATAAAGTTCATAGTTATAAATAATTATTTCAAGTTATTTATTTTAACATATGTATTATAATTTTCTTTTGTATCTCATGAAAAAATTTCTTTAAAAATAATTAGTAAATTGTTTTAATAGCATAGTCAAACAACTTTAGATTCTTATAAACAATTGTTTTTGTACTAATAATAATAATAATAATAACAATAATAATAATAATCAAACTGCTATTATCTAATAATAATTAACAATTGTTCATAATAATAAACAATCATTAATTTATTTTTTTTAATGATTAAATTTAAAAATGTAATATGTTATTTATCTAAAATTTTAATATTAAATTCTTAAATATTACTTATTATATTTTATGTACATATGTGCATGTGCACGGGATATTTACTAGTATGCTATAATAATCACCCACTAGCCACACATTTATTTCTTTGACATATTAAACGTGTACCAATAAATGATAGACACATTTTTGTCTTTGCTTAAGAGTGCTGAACAAAATAATGGCAAATTATCTTTTCCAACTAATTATTATTATAATTAATAATTACCTATGCATATTGCATTGCACGCTGTATACAAAAGTTGTTATTTGACTTCTCACCAGTGTTTTGAGACCCGTACCGGTTCGGCGGGTCGACTCGGAGTCGAAATCGGTCCGAGTAGAGTATTTGGACCGGGATACCAAGGACCCGATAAAACCCGGTCAAAACCCAGCCGGCCCGGCCGAGATTTGGCTGACCCGGGGCATTGACCCGGCCGAGTCAACCCGGTTGACTCGGTCTATATATTTTTTTATATTTTTTTATTTTTTTTATTTTTTTTAAAAATAAAACTATGTATATATGTTTATATGGTAAATATTTATCATGAGATACATTTTATTAACACTTTAATATACAAATTTTAGACATAAAACATTTAATCTTGTTACTTTTATGTATATTTATATAACAAAAATACTTTATATATAATTTTAAAAATTTTAAAATTAATTATCCGGTTCAGCAATTTGCCCGGTGACCCGACGGTTGAAACGGTGACCCGAGGACCTGCCCGGGTCGATTACCGGGCCGGGTTTAAAAACTATGCTTCTCACACAAAATCAAATAAAAATGACGCAAGAGAAATGCTACAAGTACATAATATTGTACATAGAGTTGTACATAACACTCACGTGTCCTACCAAAAATAAAAAATCAAGTGGACCCACTCCATGTGAATGTTATGTACTATGTACATTTATTATGTACTTGTAGCATTTTTCATGACACAAATGAAAGTTGCTTTCCAGCCGATAGTGGGCACATTCCATCACGTGTGTTGTTATTATTCTTCTTATTATTATTATTATTATTATTATTTATTATTGGTATTGTTGTTGTTATTATTCTTATTTTATTTTATTTGTTCAAATTGAATTCTAAGTCTAATTCTAATTTATTTATTCCCTTTTCTCTCCTCCATTTATTTATCCCAAATTCCGGTCCTTCACCTTCCTCCCCATTTGCTCCATTTCCCGCGTTCTCCGCTCACAATTGTACCTCAATCCGCCGTCGCAGCCGAATATCACCTCCCTCTTGGATTCTCCGCTACCGGTGGCGGTTAGAGGGCAACACACGGTTTCGAGGCGTTTGATTTTAGGGTTTGACGAAGGATACAACTCAGATAATTCAATGAGCTTTCAAGATCTTGAAGCGGGCAGGGGAGCGGGGACCCGGAGAGGGTTTGTAAATGGAAAGCAGGACCCGACCCAGGCGGTGGCCTCCGGTATATTTCAGATCAACACGGCGGTTTCCACCTTCCAGCGCCTCGTTAATGCCATCGGCACTCCCAAGGACACGCCTGAGCTCCGGGAAAAGCTGTTAGTTTTATATTATGATCCGTCCTTTGGCTAATTTTATTTTGTTGTATTAAATCAAAGAAGTTGAGTTCTGTTGATGTTTGTTGGGTATCATTTTGCATTGATTATTCTTCAGTATGCGGAAGCTGTGTTTACTGATGTGTGATTTTTAGGCCCCTTTTGGTTTTAAATATGTACCAAAAAGGGGGACCTGTGAGACTTTGATAGGATGCTTCTGCAAGTCGATTGCCTTTGATTGATCAATAGTTAGAGATAGAGTGCTGAACAATTGTCATTACTTTTGTGCTGTCGATAAGCTTGATGGTTTAGCTGAAATTACTTATAATCAGTATGGAGCTGTTTCAAGGCAAACATTCTTTAGTTCATTATTTTCATCATGTGTTTCTATTGACGGAAGATGATAGCATAATTGACCCTCCTCACCGAGCCCTGTATCTTCATATAAGTTGAGTCAATTTCTAACATTCACAATGTCTACTGGTTACTTCACCTCACCTGTTGTATACTTGACTGAGGATCAAATATCCCTTTGTTCAGCTATGACACCTTACAGAAATGATCAATCGTTTAATGCTATTGCTAAATTGAATCCAGAAATGGTATTTGACTTACGAATGTATAGTTCTGTTTGGTAGAATATAGTAATATACTAGTAATAATTCGCGAAGCTCTTTGAGGCTTTCGCTGATCTTCTAGTTGTCATGTGATTTTTAAATGCATTGAGTGCTAATGTGAAGGAAAACATTTTGGTGATTCTCATGCTGTTTTTCCCAACTGCAGGCATAAAACTCGGCTACATATTGGACAGTTGGTGAAGGATACCTCAGCTAAACTTAAGCAAGCCAGTGAAACAGACCATCGTGCTGAAATCAGCGTAAGTATTATTGATGGTTTAGTTGACTATGTGGAGCTTTTCTGTTCAGTCCCTCTTCCGCTGGTTTGTTTATCTTCCATAATGTTATAGTTTCGTTTAAAAACAAAACAAGTGAGGTGCTTCTGTCTTCAGTTGTTTATATTGTAGAAGCAATTAAATTTATTCTTTGGGGAGTCATCTTATTCTCATCACCAAGCCCTCAGACTTGTGCTGTGTTACCATGAGTGCCATTAACATTTCCTGCAGACAAACAAGAAAATAACAGATGCTAAACTCGCAAAAGATTTTCAAGCTGTTCTAAAGGAGTTCCAGAAGGCACAGCGGCTAGCGGCTGAGAGGGAGACATCATATACTCCTTTTGTCCCTCAGGCAGTACTTCCCTCTAGGTAACCATTGACTAAGATTCTCTACTTTTAAGTTGTGGTTGGATTATGTTTTTTTTTGTTTTTTGTTTTTTTTGTTTTTTTTTTTTTTTTTTTTG